TCACTGAACATAAATGTTTGAAATTCAGCTGAGGCCTTTCTGTCACAAAATGTGTTTTTTGGTTATTAGGATCATTGGGCCTCAACCGTTGGTACAAACAGATTTGTTCTTGAGTTGTGTGTACGAGTGATTTAGGAGAATTTGTATCATTCACCAATTTTCTCGTATTCTAAGATTTTTTTCTGATACAAACAAAATTCACGAGTGGTCCAGACCTGTCATGTATTGTTCGAGCAGTCAGTCTGCTGTTATCTAGACAGATTTTCTTCACTAATAACTTCATATTTAATTAGTTTGAAGATATTTCGAGTTGAAAATAAAGCACACTCAATAATTATGTTCACAATAGGTTATTCTGTTTGAATTGGAATTAGATTTTAAGTGTAACTAACAACATAAATTGGTTAGGACAAATTAAATGGGCTATTAATGCTGTTGTATAACACTACAATATTAATATGAAGATCACAAACTAAAAACCAACTTAAAATATGCATTAGTTGAAGTTTGGAGATATTTTAAAATGCATCTTTTCAGAACCGCATCTGATGCGACGGTCGGGAGKGGGGAGATGGCCAGGCAGGTGACAGGATTTGGAGCAGGATAAACCCAGGGCACAGGCGATGTTCAAAAGTGACAAAAGGTTTTRATGATAAAATCAAAAATGCTGACAAAACAGCTCAAAAAACTCTCAGTACTTACAAAAATACAAGGCAGGGACGACGAAGACTGAATACTGACGAAACAACAATGATCCGTCGCAGACTGACGACAAGACTCAGAATAGAAAGAAAATTGAGAGACAATGGGAAACACCTGGGGAGACACAAGAGGAAAAAGGTGAGCGTGGGCGGGGCTGGAGGTGACACAGCAGGGAAGAGAAACGCAGGGGAACAGAGAAAACACTAGAAAATGAAGACAAAAACACAGATTATGACAGCGGGGGGTGGTGGAGGTTAGCGGTGCGCGACTGCTCTTCTTCTGAATAAATGAAAACTATGTAACACARGTGTTTACACTTAAACTAAAAACATTTAACCAAAGAAAAACCGGAGCAGGACAGAGAGAGATAAATATGAYTTAGATTTTTATTTCTGTTACTGTACGACTATGGGGTGCCGTTTGTAAAGTTACACAGTCAAAAATTGCCACCAAAATTTTTGTTTTATTTAGCCTTTTATAAGACAAAAAGAACAGATTTATTTTTCAAAGTCAGTTTTTCACCATATGATTCATACATTTATAAATGTCATAGTTTATAAACTAAATATTTAACTTACAAATTAAATATTTAGTTAACAAACTAAATATTTAATTTGTGGCTTAAATATTTAGTTTTCAGCTAAATGTTTAGCTTGCAACTTAAATATTTAGCTAACAAATTCAATATTTAACTAGCCACCTAAATGTTTAAATATTTAGGTAGCTAGCTAAATATTTAGGCAGGTAGCTAAATATTTAATTTAAATGTTTAGGTAGCTAGTTAAACATTTAAGTTTCATGCTAAATATTTAGTTCAAATCTAAATTTTTAAGTCACAAACTTATGACTTAAATGTTTAGTTTTGAGCTAAATATTCAGCTTGATAGTTAAATATTTAAGTTGCAGCCTAAATATTTAGGTAGCTAGCTAAATATTTAGTTGCAAGCTAAACATTTAACTCAAAACTAAATATTTAAGTCACAGGTTAAATATTTAGCTTGTTAACTAAATATTTAATTTGTAAGTTAAATATTTAGTTCATAAACTATGACATTTATAAATGTATGAATCATATGGTGAAAAACTGACTTTGAAAAATAAATCTGTCCTTTTTTCTAACAAAAGAATAAATAAAACAAAAATATTGGTGGTAATTTTTGACTGTGTAACTTTACAAACAGCACCCCATACACAACCCTCAGGAGACACGGCATTAAGAGCAGTAGTTTTTTTCATTCCCTTCTTTGTTTTGGCTGGTCCTTTAGTTCCATGACTGACACTGCTCAGAAGGAAAGATTTTTTTTCTCATCTCTGAGAGCAGGACTTTAATCTCCGAACTCGTAAAGTTTTTCTTTTTACTTTTCGCTTTCATTTTCACGAATGAACCTGGTAACCTTATATGGTGCTTTTGGGGTGGTAATTATGCTAATCTCCTCTCGCGTGCACGAGCAGCTGGATACGAACAGGTGGAATTCACGCAGCTCATTTACACACTCCTGAACACAGAAGAGTTTGTTGAATCTGACGTGACATGTTTGTACGAACCCTTCATACGAACAAAAGTAAGAGAAATTTAGGATAAGAMTACGAACATGTTCGTGCATGAGGCCCATTGATTTGTCTCCTAGTTTCTGTTCCTCTGTGCCACCTACCACTTCCTCCAGTACTTTTTCATTTATGAGCTTCTGCTCTTCAGTTCTGTCACACCCACCACCTGTTCCCCATTCTCATTAGTCTCAGCTGCAGCCACCTTCCTCATTAGCCCCAGCCCTTTTACTCTGTTTTCTACAATTCAATACAATTGGAGCATTTTCCTGCATATAAATCATCATTTCTGATTAGATTTCACGTGTTCCTATGACAACGGCTCAGAAAGGAAGAAAACCCCCACTTTGACTTCAGACTATTTCTAAAAATTTTGCATGGAACTTCCTTTGTGGCTCGAATTTACATCTCTCACACAAACCCCCACCAGACGTCCTGACGCCTTACCGTTAATAGATAAGAATTGCCACATTCCTGTTCCGAACCCCACAAGACTGTTGGTTCCTCTTCAAAGGGATCATAAATGCCTTTAACCAGACTCTTCAGCATGACTGGGAACAAAGGAATCTACATTCTTCATTTAATGTGAAAAAAAGAGAACAAGATTGAATGTTTTTACCCAACTGTCTATTTTCATATATCTTAATCAAAGAAATGTGATTTTGTGATTTACCTGTTTCTTTTTACAGAAAGAACAAAACCCATTGAAGCTCTACTATGTTCTTTTTTTAACTATTTGCCCACTAAGGACTCAGTGGGGTAACAGTGTGGTGTTAATTGTTTTGATGAAATGTTCTCCTGAAAGAGATGTGTGTTTTATTCCACGGTTTAATCCTTAGAAACTTTAGGACTTGAGTTTTAATTAAAAGTGTGACACTCTTATTTTACTGAGRCAAGCAGATGTCTCTCCCTTTAATTAGATGCGAGATAATTAAACTAAAACCCTCCTTGTTTTGTTTTCAAAGTAAACCTCTACCTCCAACAGACTCGCTGAGATATTTTCCTGTATAAGGTGTAACATTTTTAATTGGCCAACTAAAACCTTGACTCCGGCCATAACAGAGGTTTTAGTGCAGCTCCCGAGACAGGCAGAAGACCGACAGAGTTGTTGAGAGTTTTTCAACATCAGAAGTCAGAAACAGCTTTTCAGAAGTTTCAGCGGAGACCGGCCCTGTCAGCCCCTCCCATGGCTGACCAGGTTACGGGCTCTGCATCTCCCGCTGGGTTGAACGAACAGCCACTGTTTAATATCGACTCAACACCTGGGTTTGATTTTATAGAAGTTAAATAAGCTAACTGTAATTCATGCGTCGTTTTTAGTTCGTTTTTCTCTACAATGTTGAAATCAAATTAATAAGTTTTGCAGCCGCCTAAAGAGGACCGGACCCCGTTGTCACCAGCTCACCACCCACCTTTCTGACTGAAGGGCCAGCAGCTGAACAGACATCCTGAG